CAAGAGATACTTCATATGTCAATAAAGATATAAGAAAAGTTTATAACTCAGTTATAGAATAGGCAAGAGAAAACCAGTTTGAGCTGTGGTTATGGCGCTTGAAGCGAGCCCTATGTTATGAAGCGTATTAAAGAACAATTTCCTCCGCGATCTACCCCTGACCACTGGTGAAACCTTGCTCCAGATGGATCCCAGTCCTCGGGAATTACATCAATTGCTAATTTGACCGTTTCCAATGCTCTTTCTCTCCATTCTTATCGTGCTTTCTCCTATCATCGAAAATTTCTATTTCGCTTCACGTCCTTTCTCTATAATCCTTTATTATTCGGCTAAAACATAAAAAAATTCTGATACGTGATCAGGTGTGCTTCCAGGAATTTAACATCGTAGGCTCGGACAAACGGAGTGCAGATCTGGAATGGCCACACACGCCCTTTCGTATCTTTGTAAGCGATCTTGAGTTTTCTGATAATAGCATGTCGGACATTCTGAATTAATATAGACTTCAATCATTTTGGTAAGACCAACTGTTATTATTATTGTTTAATTTTTTAAATAATAAATAAAAATAAAAATTGTTCTAATATGATGTAAAAATGAGAATGTATTGTATTAGGTTATTGACCGGATCAATTATAAATATTTATTACATATATCTATCAAGAGTTCATAGTGATAAGTGAAGAAAAGCAGATCAATCTATAACTAACTGAAGATAAAATCAAATACACGGTAGTGAGCTGAAAGCAATACTCTAGTTTCAATTATGAGTCAGGAAATAGTTTGAATTTCTCTTCAATCTTTTCTTTTTCATTTATTTTCAGTTTTTTTTTTTTGTTCTATACTTTTCCTTCAGTTTTCTATGACGGAAGGGAATGAATTATATTATAAATTTATTAAGATACGGTTTGGAATTTCTTGCTCGTTTCTGGTATAGCTTTTTGACTGAATTCGCTAGATAATAACGAATACTCAAGTTACCGCAGCTGATTTTGGTATTCGTCATTAGTAGAGGGTTCAAAGAATATTATAATTACAGTAAGATTTTAATGTGGTAGAAACTGGATTTTTATTTATATTTGATTGAAAATCTTGGATACTACGCATTCGAGCATAAACTTTAGGAATATCTGCGTTTACTATATCAGACATTAAAAATATATAAATTTGAATTATCATCACTTCTTGAAAATATGCATTTTGCCGCTCTCAGTCTACTGTGCGCCATTCTTCTCTGCAACGCAGGGTTAGATCGCGTTCTCTGAAATTGTTGTAATTCAATAGATATCAATGCAGCTAGATCGTAGGTCTTCACTTAGCATTGGTAGGGGAAATACTTGTGCTTTGGGCCACCCTAAGAATTAGCAATTCCGTGGCACTGCAGTGCCAGAACAATTTTCTGCTGATTATGGTGCCTCTGATCCACACCGTCTTTTTTATAATATTGATAAGAGCGTTTTAGAGTTGGAAAAATAACTTTTTACTTCTTGATGTAATACATTTTTCGTAAAAAAAGTGTACTTAAATATACTCAAAATCATTAGTCGATTGATGTACTCGTATCGTAATGTCTATAGCTCCTTTTAAATAAAAGTTCTTAGCAAAATATGTTAGGACCTTGCCCAACAAATTAAACTATAAAAAGTAAAGAGGAAATAAAGTATTTTCCTAAAAATAAGAATAAAAACTGACAGATAAGAGGAAAAACAAAGAAAGTTCAGAATTCATACTGACAGGATGAAATGATGAAAATGAATATCTAATGAAATAAATAATACAAGACCTTATCGAGAGGGCTGGAATAGAATTATCAGCTGCATGGTCAATGTACCGAAATGTACTCTGTAATAAATGGTTATCTGTGAAATTTACAACAATGAAGAAAAATTGTTGCCCTGACAGAATTCCAAAGACAATTTCGTTCCTTGTGTGGATTCAAGAACTAGATGAGTGTGATGAACAAGATGAAGACATTGTTTGTTTTCATCCACCGATATTATAAGAGGGACGTGGTGAATCATCATTCCCTGTCTTTTTTGAGAGGTCAATGACTCAAATAATTATTTTTTTTTTATTCTGATTTATTACAGAATAAAATAAGCAGTTTTACAATTATTTCAGTGATACTTATTGTGGTACACGTATTTTCCCCTATGTACCATAGCGCCGATTTTTAATAACTCAGTAGTTGTTACTAAAATTCCTTGAGATTTTGCAATTGATTCAATTGTCAATGGTTCAATCAACTATCAAATGACCATTTTTCGATATCAGTAGGAACTTTACGAAACTTATATTTGTTTCAATCGCGATTTAAACTTGATTTAAGCAATTGTTGATGTTACTTCAATCTTTGTATTTTCCAAGAGTACTATATCGCTCCGTGATGCCATTCCGTGCCAGGGAGGCGGTACCTTTTAACCATTGTCATTTGATTGTCGTTCGAAGACAATGCATACCTCAACCTAGCAGTTAGTTATTAGCAGAAGCAGTAAAGGATTGCTCATGAAAGGATCCATTTCCAATCCATTCTCCTCCTCACTTGGCTCTATGGGGCTTGTCTGTGTGATAAGATTAATTAAGGCGATAATACTCTAAACACCAACCTACCTAGAGCTTGCTCACCACGAGCAGTGGTCTGTCTTTTGTTATGATAATTTAGTTTTATCATTACTCTTTTAAAGAGTATGTCTTTGCAGATGGGAATCGCAAGTTGAAAATCAGACATTCAGGGGTGTCCATCCCTCCCAAGGTCGATGGCGCAACCTACCCCCCTCCTCTCCACCCAAGATATTTTATTGCTCACCCTTTCTTAAAAAGCAATCTAAGGTAGAATTAGAAAAATCGTAGATCATATATAATTACACTTGCTACTGTATGTTCCATGTTTTTCCCATCGTTCCTTAATTCAAAAATGCATAATTCCGTCGAAATTCGTTCCCTCAAAAATTCAAAACCCTTTAAAAATATGCATCCTCAAAAATTTTGATTGCGCAGCTTGCTCCATAAAACTCCCTTTTGGGCACCCTTGCAGACATTGTACCAAACTTGTTACATCAATGTGACTTCCCCAATTTTTTTGGGAGAGTAAACTATTGTTGAAGAGGTGGACACAGATTTCTCCAAACGTTTAGTAATTATCTATGAATAAATAAAAGCCAATTTGATTTTTATTAAACTGACCTTACGGCATACACTTGTGTGCTGAGAAATTAAATAAGGTCAATATTTAAAACATGTAAAATATTTTTTTATATTTGTATGTTTATTTTTTTTTTATAAATCAAAGCTTTAAATGGTTAATTAAATTGTTATTTTCGTTTCCTAATGATTATAAGTAGAAAGCTAAAGAAACATTTTTCTAACGTTTTTAAAATTTATTTTTGACCTTGTTCCTTGACTCTTAGATCAGGCTGGGTTAGATTGACTTGTTTATAACGATTTATTTTACGAAACTGTAACACGTCACGGTTGAATAGAATATAAGTGACAGGCGTAAAGATGATAACTGAATCAGTGAGAGTAAACGGTACGAGCAATTGATTTATCTATAGTGAAAAGTCTATGCCGTATAAAAAGGATGGTGGCTTAGATCGTGAATCGGTTCAAAAAGTTTACAATAGGTTATTTGGTTTGAATATACACAGTTGTTAGTAACCTCGATGTTGTAAAATGCTAAAATAAATTGAGTCACGACTGGTCTAGAAGAAAATAGTGCGAGAAATATTGTTTTCTTTTTGGAGTGTAAATTTAAGACGGGATTGTCAATTAAGAAACATTTAGACCTGATATGTGATGTCTGATTTCTCTTAATACGGGTTCGAAGATGCTGGATAGCTTACTCCAAAGAGTTTTGAGCATGTAAGGGTTACTATGGTTTCCATCATGACGAGCTGTCAAATGATGACAATTAACCTAGAAGATGGTTCAGGTCCGGGTTTCGGTCAAGCAAATAACAAAATAGTAAAATCTATTAATTAGGTACCGACGTTTTCGTCCACACTGCAGTTTTTCTTCAAGGCTTGGAGTGTTCATGTATGGTTTTATGTACTTTTTGTTCTAGAGGAGTACACTAGGACGTTTAAGTCCAAATAAAAAAACTTACAAATTCATGAAAATACATTCGCGTTTATAAAATGAGCATCTAACTTTATTTTATTATTTGTATTGTGTCCTAGGGCTGGATGACTAGTTTGCTTGCCCGATGACATCGACCTGGAGGTACTCTCTTAATCTGTTGTGCTCAAATTAAAAAAACCGTATACCAGAAAAGGTAGTTTTAGCCTATAAATAAAGCAACTGAATTCATAAAAAAATGGTTGAATCAAATATAATTCGAATATAAAGTACTCTTCAAATGTTTCTATTTCTTCCGGTTAGGAATTAAGTTAGGTTTTTATTTTTTTTTCAGGGAGTGATTTACCTAATTTGTAAGATTGCCGCTGTTTTTATTTTCATATTTATAAAAGATTTTATTATATTATTACACACATCATTATTAGGAATATTGTTATATCTAAAAGCACCAGTATATGAACAAATAATATTGATCCCAAGTATCATATAAGTAAGAACCACTGCGTTGAATAATACTTTTTCCTGTAGTTAAGGTTTAGAATCTTTCCAAATTATTGAAGCTCATCTTCTGGAATATATTCTCTTAGAAATTAATTATTGAAAAAATATTCTTTATATTGAAAAGATAGAGATAGATATGGAGATATAAGCGAACGAATGTTTTTTTTTTTAATTTTCAGAAGCATAACTTCGTAAATTAGATCAATTAAAATTCATTTTATTTAAGTTATTAATCATGAGTAATTTAGCATAGTCATGAGAGAAAAAAAAATATATATATATATATATTAGGAAAAAGCAATACCCAGCGGTACCCCTTCCATGGTCTTTACTCCTCTAATCTTAAAAACCTCGATGGACGTATCTTATTGAAAAGGACTGAAAGAGTATTATTCAACGCTTTGATGTGATATTATAATATTTTAAAAATATATTAGCGGTGGATAAAATACATCTCTCCTTCTCTTTGACACTTTTCGCTTTCTTTTCGATCTGGTGCTTGAGTGCGATTCACTTGCTGTTTGTTCAACTGCGCCAGTCGACGTCTCTCTTAGACTTCCTTCTTCTGTTTCTACCGGTAGGTCCTCCCTCGATCGTGGTTCGGACGAAGCAACAGATTCTTCTTCGTATTTCTGATTATTATTGCATGATTGCTTATTAAAGTTCTTCTTTATTTCTTCGATTTTTTCATCATCCAAGTATAATAGCAAAGAGTCAGAATAGTATGGAATAACTTCTGATTGGACTTCTGACATATCTTTTCTTTTTATTGTGAAAATGTAAGATCCTGCACCAATTGAGTTAATGAATATATATGCATTATAAATTTCTATGTCACTACTTTGTAGCTTCGGCAACTCAAATTATAATATTTTGAAATATTCTTTTTTAAAACGACATTGGCAAGAGTTGGGAGAATGCGGAACCACAATATCACTATCATGCCGTGTAAGTTAATTACAATTATTACTTATAGGGTCACCTATATCTATTCAAGCTAAACTGGATAGATTGAGGTTAATTCCGCTCAATTTTGATTATCTGATTTAGGTGTACATAAGATCTATAGATGTTACTATGGATATTAATATATCTCTTTCTTCCTGTTGAATAAATGTAAATCTAACAAATTAATCTGGATGAGGTTTGTCAAGCGGATAACAGGGGCTCTGGTTTGCATCGCTGCCTTTAAGGCCCCTGGGCAGGCATGCAGTTGCCCCAGTTCCTTCTTGACTTATTAATAATTCATTACAATATGTAGGGCAAAAGGTTCTTATTAAGGAATACTAAAACTCGAATTTCATATCATAACATGGCTTGTATTTACTTAGGGCTACAGGATATCGTCGGAAAGTGGAAACTGATTTGAAAAGATTTTTTGAAAATACTATCTGAATTCTAATAAAATTATCTTATTCTATAGTGATATTTGCAATTGCGGTTCTAGCAAATCTGTTGAACATTTTTAATTTTCTTGATATTAGCTTTTTTTTTATTTTTTAAAGTAACCAACAATTGGTTAAGTAGATTTCTGGACCACTTTCTTTTTAACCGGCGACGACCTGGTAAATTGATTGGTTTGAGTGGTAAATAGGAATGGTTTAGTAAATTGGAATCGTTATGAGTTATACAGTGAATCGTGTATAGTGAAATGTGTATTGGTTGTGGGTATATGATTCTACTATTGGAATGTCCATCATGTCTCTGTTTATGGTGTGATTAGAAAAACACGTTGATAATTTGGTATAATTAATACTTTGTCATAATTTTTTACTTATGTCTAATTTTCCTCCAATTTCGGGCCAGATCGAACATACGGTTTTTGAAATAGAAATGTATCTATGAAAATACATTTGTATATATTTAACAGGAAGTAGCTGATACTATATAATTTTTTCAACATCTCCACCATTTTTGTTTTAATATCTTGAGCCAAATTGGACGAAATATAAAATATAGGCGTGCCTAAGAAAATACATATACGCTTGAGTATGCAAAAGTAGTGATGGAATTTTATGAAATTGGACCACTTCTTCACTACTTCTTCAAATTGGAGTCACTTCTCGGACAATCTGAGAAATTTTATGGAAATAGGTTTCGCATTATTAAGTGATATGCCTGTAACATGAATTACTATAACATGATTTGTCTTCAGAATTACATATAGAGGGACACACAACCAAATTTGTTTCTTGATGTCTAAAGTGAGATTTAAAAACCACTATAAATACAAAAAAACAATAACAAGAAACAGTATGCTTAGACATTTTTGTATTTCCGAAGAAACAGACATGGCAGACGTTGGTAATCATATTTGCTTTAACTTATTGTAATTATACAACAGAAACAAAAGAGAGCAAAAAAAAAAATAATAAAAAAATGAAAGGCGTAAAATTCCTCAAAGGTGATGGTGAAAGAAGAAAATTCATTTAAATTATACGAGGAACCATTAAATTGAGCATATCTCAAGCCACTCAAACAGCAAACAATTAGAGCTAAATGAAAAGCAAAGCAAGGCTAAGGCCTTTAATTTCTCTTGAAAAACCGGTAACAGATGGAATGTGAACAAACAACAAAGAAAAAAATTTGCCAAGAGGAACAGCCTATCTAGACATAGATATCCGTGTTTCCGATAGTTCGTGAAATGTCTAAAGGCACATTAAGACATAAAACTCGAAATAATATTGTTGAATCTGAGCCCCCCTTTTTTTTTAAACCAACCGCACGAATACAAAGCTTCCCTACTTCTGGTAGTGAAGAAGCAAAACTTAATATCAAATATTATTGTTCCATACAAAAGAATACTTAACATTGAGCAGGTGTATGTGATTGGATGTCATGGATATGATCTTGGGTGTGTTTTCTTTTCTGTCATGATGATGCCTGAATTGGTGAAACGTTGACATACTGCTTTACTTATTATGATGGCATGCTTTTTTCCCTGCATTTTGGACATACAATGCTGTATGGTTGGATGTTTTTATACAATAATTTATTCATCTGTTATCTAGCACTCTTTTATGTTTCAATAACTTTACTACTTGTTCGATCTGCAACTTATGATAAAGGAATTACATTCGGCATCATATCATCTTTCAATCCTACAACTAGAAGCTCCATGATGACTTATATTAGTTCGCAATTACTGGTCGTACGAACTGTACCAAAACTTATCACTCTTACCACTCTGATGATCTACTTTCACAATCATGTCAGTTCGTATAGATGTTCGTTATTGAGCTATTGTGCTGAATGAAGCAATATAGAAGATTCGAGGAAATTGGTGGATCCAGTTGTGTGAGATAGCTGCCGCCCGCTGTGCGGTATCGGGACGCGCTAACGGTATCGCGATGGACGGAGGAATGCACTGTCCCTCCCGTACCGTACTATCAGCTGTCATCGTATTGTCATCTCCGCCGTATCGCTAGTCCCTATTGTTCTCTTCTTTCTTATGGATTTTTCCCACCATTTCTGAAACCCTGAGTTATCTTGAAAAAGAAATATTCGATATAAACAAAACACTTCTATAAAGTATAAACTATTGGAATCATATCCAGGAATGTTCCTTATTTATAAGTGACAAAATAAATGTTTCTAATTCAAAAATGTACGTTTAAAATAAATAAATCTGCTTTAATTATATTCATATTCACATTTTCATGAAAATAAATGGAGCAATCATGCAGGTTTATTTATTTTAAACGTACATTTTAGCTAGTGTTGCCCAAATGCGAGACCAAGACGAGCCTTGGTCTTGCGCACTCAGGCTTGGTCTTCGTCTTAGTTTTGCGTAAGAATCACGCAACTGTCTTGCTGTTACCTTTTAGCTTATTGCTATTGAGATATTATTGTAATTGTTCAGATAGGGAAACCTAACTAACCCTGAATGCAAACATTGGAAGAGTTAAATGTAAAAGTATATTGGTTATACCGATTCTTTTTACATAGTAATTACAATTGTCATGTGTTAGTAACTATTTTACCTTAATTTTCATTCTCAAAAACGATTTTTGTTTTTTTACCAGTCTAGATCTTGGTCTTCTAACGGTCAGGCATTCTTGATCTTGGTATTGCAAAGTGCAAGACCAAGACCGATTTTGGACAACACTACTTTTAGGACTGGACACGTTTAATTTGTCACTTACAAATACGGATCAATTCCTGTAATAGAGATCTTAGTAAAAACACATTTTCATTATCACTTAAGATAATAAATAATAGAAAAATCTACTATTTTTAACATTAAAAGAAAAAATAAGAAGTGTGCTTGTGCACTTATATCTATTATTATATATATCCCATAAAAAATATAATTTCTTTCAAAAATACACAGTTTCATCCAAATATTATACCCTGAAAAATTAAAAACCTCGTCAAAATGTGTCCTTCAGTAATCTTGATGGCGCAATGTTCCCCATGCCTCCCTTTCTGGGCATCCTTAGAATCTATTAACATAAATAGTGGTTAATTAATTTACTTCTGCGAGTTAAATAAGGTATTTCAATTTCCTCGTGGACTATCTTCAGGTTGGGTTTGAGAGCTTTGAGGAAGCAATTATGAAGAAAGTATTGCAGAACCTGTTGCCCTTCAACTATGCAGTTTCTCTCTGCTCGAGTCCAATGCCACGCTATTATGTCTACATGTTCCTGTCGGAGCGAGTACTTTTCTTTGACCAGTCCGTTTACTTTTTCTTATTTTCTACAACCTTGGTGGTGAAAATGTACAGAATAGTTAAAGAATTGTTACTTTTCATTTCGTTGCCTTTTTTTGATTTCGATACATGTTATATCTGAACGAACTTGAAAGTAGAGTTGTCTTACAGAGGCGTAACGCTCTAAAATAATCTATATTGAACTCCTGCTTTACTTCGCTGTGTCTTGTCCTTGTTTGTTTCGTTGTTTTGCTCTAAGCATGTAAATGTGGTTGGTATGTATCGTTGAACCACAAATGATGATTTACTTATTTTCTTCATCGTCTGGCATAAGATTTGCATATAGCTGCTGCCTTTGCTTCGATCAACCATAGCCTGCTGTTCCATCTTGAACGGGGGTGATGCTCATTCTCAACTGCTTAAAGTCGCTTTGAACATTGTCCTTTCACCGGATTTTAGGTCTTCCTCCGGCTGGATTTCCCTCGTTGACCTTTCTTACGATTCTGATTCTGAGGAGGAATAAATTACAACTTAACCTTGTCACCATTAGATGTTTATTTCCTGACAGATCTTTTTTCTGAACTGTATTGATTTATGAAATGCCTGCTCAGCGGTCTTAGAGACATCGATTTAAGCCGTAGTTATATTCAGATTAAGTTATTTAATTTATCTTTGTAAAACATTTTATTATTCTCCTATATTTCTGAAAATCCTGATACATTTATATTATTGTTGTGGAAATGGATATAATACAATGCGAGATTTAAGAGCGGACAAGGATATTGAAATCATTGAGGAAATGAGAAAACATCTCGAAGGGATCCTTTCCTTCCTAAGGACAAATGATTTGAAATAAATATGACTTATATGAATGAACAGGTGTCTATTTTTTGATCTATCTGTATCAAGGTATTTTTTTATATTAATGAAGTTTTAATATTAATTTGAATAATAAGATTTCGGTATTTAGGTTGATCTTTGTTGCCAAATGCAGTATGCAACATCCACAACGTCCAAATACTACATGCACCTAACAGGCAAGCTTTTGTAACTGAATAGCGGATATTTTACTTTATATAACTTCCTCCAATATTTATATAATAT